GGAAAAATGTGGAACTAGTACGTACCGGTGCAACATAGCATGCCGTCCGCACTGGTAGTGTCGGACGTTTTTCAGCACTATACTGGGAATTTTCTGTAGGAGATTCGATCATGTTTCTCATAAGAATTCTACAAGAATCTTATAAGAATCGTATAACAATCTGATAAGAATAACATACGAGTTTTGCCGACTCTTACCAATTTCTTATGAATTCTTGTGAGATTCTTATACGATTCCACAAACTTTTTTTGTCTAGGGAATGAACTCCAGTGCTAAGCTTTTGTCGTCACCCATACAGCCATTTATTGTAGGAAGCAATAAACGGCTTAGTCATTTATTCGAGAAAAAAAGCCATTTATGCTAGATATTCCCTCCTAAGACACATTTTTTCTTTGCACGATAGGAGCCATTTATTCCAGGAAGTGGCTTAGGCTTCTAGCAAACAGCCATTTATGCTAGAAATTCCCTCCTACGAGACATTTTTTCTTGGCACGATAGGGAGCCATTTATTCCAAAAAAAGTGTGGGTAAGCCATTTATTCTAGAAACGGCGCAATTTATTTATCTAGTAATAAATTGTTACTGCTGGCCCAAGTTCTACATTTATTTTTTCCAGTAAAATCACTACAATTACATGAAAAGGAACATGTTACTAACTTTTATCTTTGAAACTGACAGCTTAGTGCTTAAAAACTAAAACCCATGTTGTCGAATCCGGACGAAAACCGACGGTTAACAGCGGTTATTTCAGCTGAAACCATAGCAACACAGCAGAAAAACCGTCGGTTAAGCTCACAATTAACCGGGAAAATGGTCGGTACCGACCGTCCGAACCGTACGTTTTCCGGTTAATTGTGACGCTAACCGACGATTTTTCTCTGCTGTGTTGCTATAGTTTCAGCTGAAATAACCGTGCTTAACCGGCGAAGAGGTTCACAATTATACTAATGGTTAACACGCATGTGGAACCCGTGCAACGTCATGACTAATATGCACTATCTGTGTGCGTTAGACAATTTTTTTAATGTATGTAAAGGCGTTCGTAATTACATTACACTCCTTCGAACGCATTAAAAGCTTTCATTTTAACGCCTTCAGATTTCCTAATGCGAATTAATATTCGCAGGTTGCGAAAACCTTCTTTTGACACATTCTAAGCCTTCCGAAGGCTTAGTTTTGACTATTTTTGGACAAAATAATGCGTTCGGACACATTTTTGGTATAAAATTCAGATTTAACTCATTGTAAGGTTTCGGACAGTATTTCGGACCTGCGATTCAGATTCGATTTTTGTCCTTTTAATGCGTTCACACGTATTAGCGGCGCGAAATTGTCTACTTTAATGCGTTCGAAAGCCTTATTGTGATGCATGAATCTAACTTATGAGGACTTCTTAATACACTAAAAGGACCTGCGGAGGTCCAAAATTTCTTCCTGGGTAAGACTGTGCTGTACGGTATACAAGACAGGATAAAGACTTTTTTTGTCTTGGGTAATCGTCCTGCGGGATGACCGTAGAAGACCAGCTGAAAAAAGTGTAGTGTCCCACCTCTGGTCGCTATCTTTTTCCAGAATTCTCCATATCTGTTGGAAAATACCTTTTTTGAAACCACTAGGAAAAAAATCTTTCTAGCGATATTGTTAAGGTATATAACAGCCACGTTCAGTTAAGAAAAGTACTGATAAATAGTAACAACAGCTGCTATTAGATTCATATCTTAATTTAAAAGCAGCTGCTGTTACTACTGTATCAATACTATCAGATCTTAAAAACGAGACACGTTCTAGAGCTGAAATGCAATTTAAAATGTTCATAGCAGTTTTGTCTTTAATTTAAGACATGCCATAGCTGTCTGCGTCATTTGGTTTCCAATTTATAAAGAAAACAAAATGATAAACAAAAAGCGGTTAATCGACGGTTTTTACATCATGCCCAAGCAAACATCACCTATGGGAAAAATCTCGATATATTTCGTCTGTAATCGGGCGATACATGACTAATTGCCATCTAGATTACTAGTTGGAAAAGGGACTTTTAACCCTTTACCCCCCATAGCGGTTCCAGAAGAGCCACTGACAAAATAACTTTATTAATGAAGTACTAGCCCCCTAGTATGCCAATGGTGCGGTCTGATCCACCGAATGTCCTGGCCCTAG